TTGAAATTGAAAAAAAATTAAAGAATTCAAAATAAAGATTTTATGTTAAAATATTAACTCTTTAATTTTAAATTGAAAATTTATTATTTTTCCTTTGTAAATGTGTAGCACTTGAAATTCATAAATATTATTTTTAGAATTGTTGAAAAATTTTGAACACATTGTTACAATTTTTGAAATAATATTATTTTATTTTGTTTAACCTTAATAAAATTAAATTCATTATTTTGTAATCTTGGACTATTTATCATCATACAAAATACCCCGGAGTATGTAATTTTATGGTGCAATGAGTGCAAAATATTAATGATTTTCTTACATTGCAACACATATGTTAACACTTTTCCGAAAGAATCTTAAATATATAGTAATGTTTTGACATAATATTTTATACTAACAATATTAAGTTGTGATATAAAAATAATAAAAGAGAGAATTGGACACAAGCAGATTTTTATTTTTATTTATTTTTCAATTTCTAATTGAGATATTACCCAAAATAGGACTAAAAATGTTTGAAAATGCCAAAATAGGACTGTCATATTTTTATTCCTAAAATAGGACTAATTACTGTCACGTTTTGGCAGTACTAGACTTCAAACATGGCAGTATTTTCCAAACTTAGCAGTAATTACTCCTATTTTCGGAATAAAAAACATGTGAGTCTTATTTTAGAATTTTCAAACTGTTTTAGTCCTATTTCGCGAACTTTCCCTTTCTAATCTATAATTTATTTTTGGTGTTTTTTTTGAAATTTATATTATCTTTTTAAAGTCAATAAGAGTACATTTGCTCCCTTATAAGAAAATGAGAGATTTTTGTTCACCTTTTAAAAGTTTAGGGGTATATTTTTTTTCCACATACATTTCAGAATATATTTGTTCCAAAAAAATGAAAAATATATTTGTATCTTTTCCCAATCATTCTTCCAAAAAGATTGAATCCTCAACCCCAAGGCCCTCCACGCCCTACCCGACAAGACTTTTGGGAGGTTGTAAGTTAGGGTTGACTCAGTCGGTCCAATGGTGATATATCTTGTACCAGTGCGCCCCAAAGGTCCAGCCCAGCACGCAGAAGCTGTAACCTCCACACGGCCACTACGGGTTTCAATCCTTGACCATTCTTCCAACTTTTCCATCACTTAACCAACTAAGCTACTCTGTGCGGGTTATTTTTTCTCAACCATAAAAGAGGGTTTGAGACTGAGAGCTTAGTGAGAGAATGTCCTACCTAGCCCTGGCGGTGGCAGCAGCTTCGATTCAGCCAGCGGGAGCTTCCCTGTCCGGTTCGTCATACGCATTTACTATGAAAGGAAACTCACCCCAATTCCATCACCCTCGTTCGCGTCCATCCTCTCGAATAAACAAGGGTTTCCGATCAAAACGATCGACAAACATAAAGGTTTACCGACCTTCTCTTTCTCTGAAGAGGAAGTCTCGATTCTAACTTCCAACTTCAGGTATGCTCCCTACCTGAAGTTGGAAGCTAAAGGTTTACCTTGAATGTTAATATGATTTTAATACCTGCTACCTCTATTGACACAATCGGTCTTACTTCAAAATGACATTGATGAATTTGATTCTTCTGAAACTATGGAGTTGCTCTCTATTGTTGACATCCACAACAGTGATTTCAAACTACTATGAGTGATGTTGTAGGGTTACTTTCTCAATTTTTAATTAAAGAATTTGAAAAACTACTCTCCTCTTCGATTTTTTTGAACAAGGAATCCGCCGATCAAGAGAAAGTTACTGGTTGTGCAAATACACTGGTCAACCTTTTGAGGGAATCCGTCTTTACAAGTAATCAATACTTTGTAGCTTTTGACACATCAGTGGTGGATTTATGAGACTCTGACACAAATGAAGATGTTTGTAACAAAGTTCAAATTGTCATGCGGGGTAATTGTTTGTCTACACAGAACCTGAACTCTCAAATTAAGATTTAGAGAAAAAAGAAAAGCGGTCGCAACATATGAGTACTAGATCCCAAACACAACTGGAGTTTTGAAGGCTTGACTAAATTCTTAGGGTTTTCATGGATGAGACAATTTGTAGTAACCCGTGTTGGAATTTGTTTCTTTGTTTCTGATTTCTTTTTGTCTTGTTTTACAGTTTTCTTTTCTTTTATTCTTTCTCACTCTTGTAATTTTCTCTACTTCGGTAATGAAATTCTGTTTAAAAAAAGGATACGTCCTCTATGATTTAAAAACAACTTATGAAGAGGAATTGCCTGCCCCTATCAGTTCATTCACTACGCCACTACTGTCAACTTTGAGAACACTCTTAATTGAGTTAATTCACGGCCCTATGATGAAATCATTTTTGAGAACACACACAAAATGAAAAATACTTTTTTGTCTCCTCTTGCTGACATTGCTGGTACATCAGAGTCCGGAAACAATTAAAAAGAACTCTGAGAAGGTTTACAGTTGTTTCTAAAAAGAACATGAATAAAAATTCTCACCAAGCCTACACCTCTTTGCAAACTCTCTCTTGAGAATGCTCAAGTATTTGATGATAGTGAAAATATACAATACAAAATGGGCATGTGTCATACTTTGTCATTGTTAGACTTTAAACATTATATTATTTACCAAACATGACAACAATTACTCTTATTCAGGGGATAAAAACTTACTACGGAGTACTATTTTGAAATTCCAAAATGTTTTAACTTCTATTTCGGGAATTTTGTATAAATGAATAAGGAAACTAATTAATTTGTTTGAGTGATTAAATATTGTGATCCATAAAAGTTTGTTTACTCATCAAGTAACTTATTGTAAATCCATGCAATCCAACAATGACAATAATAAATAGATAGGAGAAGAGATTAAATGATGAATTCAATACCGAGAATGATATGAATAATATTATTGTACAGGGTAATGAAAACGGCACCTCTCACCGTCTCCCGTAATATACAAATGTCTATTTTTTCCGTAGGTCTACAAATGTCAAAGCTTCCATATATAATATCTAAAGGTTGAGTTTCCGTGCTCATGGAGCTCTATTTTGAATTAGAGATTACAATCCGGAGCAAAATGAAGACCCTAACTATGGCGGAATATTTCTGAGATGTTAATGGGCAAACTCATCCGCTGATTCTTCAACATCAGTCGGTTCGGACCTCCACTTAGTTTCACCCAAGCTTCATCCTGGTCATGGATAGATCACCCAGGTTCGGGTCCATAAGCAGTGACAATTGCCCTATGAAGATGGTGGTCCCGGATAGAGGTAAAAGTCTAGAGGGGGGGGGGGGGGTGAATAGACTTTTAAAGCTTTTTCGGATTTAAGAACTCTTCCCTTCTAGATGAGTTGATCTATAATCTTTTGGGAGATTGATAGATGCACAACGGAAGTCTTTAACCTCTTGATTCTCAGTATGAGACAACTTTCTAGTTGGGGTGATGTTAGGACTGATTATGGATAGGCAGTAGGCTTGGCAGTTGGCTGGTGGGCAGGCTACTGCTGAGGCAACTGCTGAGTTGGCAGTTGGCTGGAAGGAAGAAGACTGCTAAGGCAACTTCTGATAAACAGGATGACTTATGGAATATTTTCAACAAGCTTTTTGTTTTGGCTATTGTAACGTTCAAGGGAAGTAAATATGTATGAGCAGTGGGCTCACCAGGTGGGTGAAGACCAGAGTACTGCTGAGACACCTTCTAAGCTTTGAGAGATTCTCGTGGAAAGACTGTCTCAAGGAGAGTGAGTAATTAAGCAGTAGGATAAGCAGTAGGGTCAGTTAAGACTACTGCTTAGGATGCTGCTGGCAAACTACAATCCTTTTGTGAGAAGTGTTTGGTGTGTGTTTTGTTAATTTGAAAGTAAATCAACACACGATATATCCTGGTTCAGAGGTGGTGTAATCTTCCTACATCCAGTCCCATTCTCTTTCAAATGGATTTCCACTGAAGTATTAAGCCCAATACAATTAGTGCCAATCTAGCCTAAACAACTCTGGCCTAGATTGAAGGTGTTTCACGAGGAGTATACCACCACTCCAAGTTACTCAATCCTTAAGACTTTTCTCAATTGATCCAGTGGGGATCAAAAGGTACTCTATCTATCTAACCACACTTTAGGATCCGAACAACTGTTCTCCTAAGTGTTTACAACATTTTGTTTACAAGAAAGTTCTAACCTCCAACTAGAAACTAAGCTCTAAAAGTATAACAATGTGTGATCTAGTCTAAGAGCTTTAGTGAAGCATGAGTCTAAGCAGAGAGCAAAGTTTAATGTGCACTTTCTCTTTTGCTGGATATCTCTTGAATATTCTACTTAGAAGACTCAAAAACTTAGTTTTAGAACTCATGCCTCTGCCTACTTTTATAGGCTTCTCCAGTAGATTAATCTCCTCCGTTGGTTGAGAGGATTTAATCCTTGACGTCCAAAGTATTGTACTTTTGTCTTCTTGTGTTGGAGCAGGATAAGGAGATTTCAATTTATCTTCATTGAGCAGCCTCCGAGAGATCACTTCACTATCTTTTGGCGTGATTTTATCATCTTCAGGGACCCATGTACAACCTTTGCATTAAATGCTTTTTAGCCGTATGCCATTTTATTTCAGTTTATCCCTGCGTGTTATTTTAACACTTTGTATCAAGTAAATTATGTACTGGAAGGATCTTTTACATATCCTAAAAAAAATTACCCTATTGAATTTTAATTTTTCCAGTAAAAATGTACTTGATATATTTGTTCAACACTTTTCACTCCTTTGATCATCTGTGTATCACGTGAAGTTATACTGGTAGGATTGAATATCTTTTTCAAGGTAACAAAAATTACCTTATTGCATTTTAAGCTTCCAGTATACTTTACGTAAAACATTTTAATGGTCATGAACATCAAGTAGTGGAGGTGTGGTTTATTAGTATAGTGGCATCATCAAAATCAATCAAAATTAGGTACTAACAATTTCCCCCTTTTTGATGATGCCAAAACTATACTAAGTAGACAAGAATTTTTCTTTATTGAGTCCAGAATAGTACAAGCTTTTGCTTTTACAGTAGTTTGTAGTCATTCTCGGACTGTTCAATAAATCTACTGAGGCTACTGGTCTTCTTCTTTCTTCTTGGCTTCATCTTTGGCCATGGCTTCTTCTGCCTTTCTCTTTCTGATTTCAGCCTCTTCTTGTAGTAGTTTATTTTTCCTTCTAGTTTCAGCTGCCTTCTTTGCTGCCATCTGTCTTTTCGAGGAGGGTCCTGCTGAGGTGTCTTCTCCCTTTTTGGCATCATCTGCCTGCTGAGCCTCCTTGAAGAGTTCTCCAACTTTGTCATCTGAGTTGTCTTTTCTCTCCTTGAGGCCATAGATAGCGCGTTGAGGATGTTGTTGACGTCTTGGAGGTCAGTTTTGATGTCAATGTGCACCTCTTCTTGTACTTTCTTCAAAATCTTCTTGGATTCTTCTATCTCCTGAGCTAGTCTTTGGATATCACTGCTCTGCTTCCAGAATGTCTCCTGAGTATTCTTCTGAAGTGTGGTGAAGTTCTTGGCAATGTCTTGAGTTAGTTGCTCAAAGGAGTGAGCATGAGCTTGCTGCTCTATGAGGAACTTGTGTGAGAGTTTGAGCATTGCAGGAAACTCCTTTTCTTTGAGATTTTTGATGTATTCTTCATGCTCAGCTATCTTGTGAAGGGCCTGCTCAAGGTTAAGAGGAAGAGTGGGTGAAGGAGTTACCTGATCAGAGGTGTCTGCTGCCTGTGATGAGGCTGCTGCTGTAGTCAGAGGATAATGATGTCTTTGATAAGTGAGCAGTTGTGTAACACCCCGGCCCCACCAGACCCGAGGTAGTTACTCCGGACCAATAGTACTGTCCCCACAAACCACCACAAGCCTTTACCGCGCACTTTGTCCTCACTCATGCGCGCCCTGAGAAACTTCCCAGGGGGTCACCCATCCCAAGACTACTCCCGTGCAAGCACGCTTAACTTTGGAGTTCTTGGGTGATGAGCTCCTTTAAAAGGAGATGCACCTCTGTTGGTATGAGTAGTACTATTAATCCGTTTATATTAAATCTCAAGTGTTACAATCACCCCCACTTAGGATCGCAACGTCCTCGTTGCGCCCATGAACCAATCTCAAATCTCAATCAAATCCCAGAATCTTCCCCCGCTAAGAGCCCGCCCGATATCCAACGGGTCATCACACTGTCGCGGGGTTGCTCTGATACCACTTAATTGTCACGCCCCGGACCGACCCGATGACGTGGCAACCGCCGCACAACCCTTCGTGAATATCCGCAGACTATTCTCGTTAGGTAATGCAAGGCTATTGTGTATATCAATCACACTAAGAATACTCATATAAGGTAAATTATAAGTAGCCAATTAACTAGTATAAAATACTAGATTGCAGCGGAAACATAATTTAAAATGTTCATTTGCCACATGAGGCATACATGGGTACACAGACCCTAAATAGAAATTTAAATAATCCATGAGCATTTATTAACTTTAAATATAGTAAATAGAACATGAGAACAGCACGAACCAAGTCTGCTCTAGGGAATCTCCCAAATGGATAAAACTGGTCTCGTGAACAAACTTCAACCTGAAAAAAAATGTCGCCCCGAAGGGTCAGTCCAATTGGTACTGGTGAGGGACGGGCGCTATACCTATGCAAGGTATAACGATCGTTTCATACCTAAGACCCTCAAATAGGGTGATATATATAATATGTAAAATCTTTACTAAATGTTACATATATATAATAATTAAAGTAATCAGCTCCAGGCTGAGATTTTTCTTATAAGGAAATTTATTTTAATGGCACTCGGGCCCATATAATATTTCTTTATAAATGGCCATTGGCCCGCATCAATTTTATTCATGAATGGCCTCGGGCCCGCGTTTAATTACCATTGGGTGTCTCTCACCCCATTTTCGTACAGGCCGTCGCTCCGAGTACGCTTACTTCCGAGATACAGCTGGACTCGTTCACAACCTGTTTCCTACGGCCCGTCCGTCCGAACTTCTTCCTTCCGAGATACAGATAGTTCGTTCACGGTCCGTTTCGATAAAGTACATCCTAAACAATATTATGTATTCGTGGTTATTATTGATACACCAAAAGTGTACTTAACAAGTAACGTGTTCGGGATAGGATTATCTTCTCAGCAACACTACGGGTATGGTGTCTGTACCATGACCCGTCATATACCAATAAATTCACAATTAAGCCTATTTTAATATATATGTAACTAGTTCTATCCTAGTTTTAAAGTTCTTTCTAAAATAAGGCAATTACTAATTTAGTTTAAGCATACAAATTTAAACATAATTAATATTACTAGCTAGTAGAATATGGTTTAGAGCATGCTTAAACAAATTTTAGACATCACGACACTTTTATATATCATCTTTAATTATCACAAAATTGTTTAATATTTAGGTAGTCTCGTATATAACCCAAAAGTTATAAAATGTATAGATATAGAACCGATCACTCACCTCTCTTTTTAATTCGGCAAAAGGCGGTTTAGCTAGAATAATACTTCTACGAACTTGAGTCCGGCCAGTTGATGAAATTAGTAGCCGACAGCTCCAGCTTTGGATATTTAATTTCTTATCTCCTTCAATAGTCCAACTAATATATCAACCCAGCAAAAATAATACTTTGGCTCCTCCGTATTACGTTTTACGACTGGCCAGATTATAAGACCCAACTACGGAACTACCGCTGCGCTGCGTCTCTTCTTGACCTCCGACAGAAATCCTTTTCCGACAGGTATTGTGCAGGGTAACAGTGAGAGGTGTTGGCGGAGAGTTAATGCTGACCGGCAGTCCAAGTCCGGAAATTCATAGGCGTCGATGCCGCCATCTTGTTTTGGGATTCTGAAAACTACTATACTCCTACGAGGTTCCCTCTCGGTGGTGGTATTAAGGACGGTAACTAGATTGACACCGATGGTAGCACCCCGACGACGTCGGGCGACGTCGGGCGACAACCTCTAGCTTTGTTTGGCAGAACTCGTTTGACACTATACTAGTGTGTGTATACGGAGTATATTATACCTATATAAAGGTGTGGGTGGGTTTGCTCTCTCCTGCAAGTTCTTCTCTTGAAAAGAGAACTACACCCATAGTAAGTATTATTCTATATATGTATGTAATACGTAGTATATATATAAGTTATATCTAATGGTATTCCTTCTCCCTTCTTATAGTATATATATACGTAGTATATATATCTACACAGCATACTGCTACTCCCTTTATCCTTGTATCCGAGCTTCGAACGTGTATAATTAGATGGGGTAGCTGCTGGGTTATTTCATTAGTCCTCATTCACTGCATAATACTAATGGATGAATCTAAAGTGGGTGGTTGTCTGATCCTTCACGTTGATTTGTTCGCACCAAGACAAAGGGAGGACCAACTTGGCATGCTTATTCACGTTCATTTGTTCTAACTTTTAATCAAGACCAAAAATATCAAATGAGGATAGAAGTCATGTTACAATGAGTGTCGGCATATTAAATTTAGACTTCCAATACTATATTTGGGGTTTATTATTATTATTATTATTATTATTATTATTATTATTATTATTATTATTATTATTATTATTATTATTATTATTATTATTATTATTATTATTATTATTATTATTATTATTATTATTATTATTATTATTATTATTATTATTATTATTATTATTATTATTATTATTATTATTATTATTATTATTATTATTATTATTATTATTATTATTATTATTATTATTATTATTATTATTATTATTATTATTATTATTATTATTATTATTATTATTATTATTATTATTATTATTATTATTATTATTATTATTATTATTATTATTATTATTATTATTATTATTATTATTATTATTATTTATTATTATTATTGGGTATATAATAATAATTCTCTTAAATAATATTTCAAATCATCCATCTCCATTATACTACAAAATATAAAATTTATACTCCGTAGTTATTTATTTATTAATTCAAACATTGAGTGAATAAGTATATTCGAGAGTGGTGTTATAAGTTCGCACCCCCTTAAAAGAAATTTCGTCCTCGAAATTTACCTTTTAATGAAATAGAGACGGGTATTGTTTCAACATTGCATCTTTTGCTTCCCATGTCTCTTCTTCCACACGGTCACTCCTCCATAGCACCTTAACCATTGGTACCTCTTTGTTGCGTAGCTTTTTCACCTGATGGTCAACTATCTTCACTGGTTGGACCGCATAGTTCAGATCTTCTCGTATTTCAACAGGTGGTACTTCCAAAATGTGAGATGGGTCGGGGACATATTTCTTTAGCATGGATACATGAAACACATTATGGATCTTTTGTAGCTCGGGTGTTAGTTGTAGGCGGTAGGCAACAGCTCCAATTCGTTCGGTTATAAAGAATGGGCCAATGTAACGAGGATTCAATTTCCCTCGGGTCTGAAATCGGATAACTCCTTTCCAGGGTGAGACTTTAAGGAAGACTTGATCCCCAACCTGAAATTCCAAAGTTCTACGACGTTTATCTGCATAGCTCTTTTGTCTGTCTTGTGCAGTTTTGAGCTTCTCTCTTATTAATTTGACCTTTTCTTTGGTTATCTGCACTATCTCTGTTCCCTCTAGTTTTGTGGTTCCAACCTCATCCCAACATATTGGTGTTCGACATTTTCTCCCATACAATGCTTCGTATGGTGGCATGCCAATACTTGCCTGGTAGCTATTATTGTAAGCAAACTCCACGAGTGGTAAGTGTCTATCCCAGCTACCCTGAAACTCTAATGCACAAGCTCTCAACATATCCTCTAGAATCTGGATCACTCGTTCTGATTGTCCATCTGTCTGCGGGTGGAAAGCAGTGCTGAACTTAAGCTTGGTCCCCATCGACTCTTGAAATTTAGGCCAAAATCGAGAGGTGAACCTCGGGTCTCGATCAGACACAATTGATACTGGAACTCCATGTAATCTCACAATTTCGTTCACATATAACGTGGCAAGCCTTTCGAGTGAGTATGTTGTGTTGATAGGTAGGAAATGAGAACTCTTGGTTAGTCTATCAACTACCACCCACACAGCATCATAGTTCTTTGTGGTTCTCGGTAGTCCCACTACAAAGTCCATCGTCACGTGCTCCCACTTCCATTCAGGAATGGATAGTGGTTGTAACAGTCCTGCCGGTTGTTGGTGTTCGGCCTTGACTTGTTGACAAGTGAGACAACGACTGATAAATTCGGCTATTTCTCTTTTCATTCCACTCCACCAATAGCTCTCCTTCAAGTCTCGGTACATCTTTGTTCCTCCCGGATGCATGGCATATGCAGAACAATGAGCCTCCTCCAGAATGGCTTTTCGAAGTTCAGTCTTTGAGGGAACACATACTCGATCACGGAAGAGCAATAATCCATCCTCACGCTCCCGAAAGTCCTCAACGGGTCCTGCCATCATATGTGCCCGAACTTTACTGAGTTCTTCATCTTCTTGTTGGCCCTTCTTGATTTCGTCAAGTAAGGTTGGCCTTACTTCAAAATTTGCTACTAAGATGCCCAAATCAGTCATGGTGAGTCGAGCTCTTAAGGCTCGGAGACTGGATACCATTGACTCTTTGGGTGTAGTACTTGTTTCCGATACACTCTTCCGACTTAAGGCATCAGCAACAACGTTGGCTTTACCCGGATGGTACTCGATTACTAGCTCGTAATCTTTGATTAGTTCCATCCAACGTCGTTGTCTCATATTTAATTCCTTTTGTGTGAACATATATTTCAAACTTTTATGGTCAGTGTAGATGTGACACGTTTCTCCATAAAGGTAGTGTCTCCAAATTTTTAGAGCAAAGACCACCGCTGCAAGTTCTAAATCATGGGTGGGGTAGTTTACCTCATGCTTCCTTAGTTGGCGTGAGGCATAAGCTATAACTTTTCCTTGTTGCATTAGGACACAACCCAACCCACGAATACTTGCGTCACTATAGACGTCGAAACCGGCTCCCTGTATAGGTAAGGCAAGTACTGGTGCCTCAGTTAGCCTCTTCTTGAACTCCCGAAAACTAGTTTCACAATGTTCATCCCATATGAACTTAGCTCCTTTTCGTGTAAGCTTTGTCATGGGGGATGCGAGTACAGAGAATTTTTGAACAAATTTCCGGTAGTAACCTGCTAAACCCAAAAAGCTTCTAACTTCTTTCACATTCCTTGGTCTCTCCCAATTGTTGATCGCCTCAATCTTTTTATTGTCCACGGTTACCCCTGAGCTGGATATGATATGTCCGAGGAAACCAATCTCTTGTAACCAGAACTCACACTTCGAAAACTTAGCAAATAGCTTCTTTTCTCTAAGTACTCCAAGCACAATCCTTAGGTGTTTTTCATGTTCTTCTTCACTCCTTGAGTATATCAGAATGTCATCTATGAAGACGATCACGAATTGGTCAAGGTAGGGATGAAATACCCGGTTCATTAGGTCCATGAATGCGGCAGGTGCATTAGTTAACCCAAATGGCATTACAAGGAATTCATAATGTCCATACCGTGTGCGGAACGCACTCTTTGGTATGTCACATTCTCTTATTTTCAACTGGTGATACCCTGACCTT